GAAAATAAAATATAAAAATAAATGATATTGTACTGAACAGTTTAAAGAGAAAATTTGAACATATATAAGGAGTTATGTTTGCAACTGAACTGACCAAAATTGTGGAGATCTCAGATGCTCAATTAACTTGGCTTCAGTGTAACTTCACCACTTGACACAATGAAGCAGGAGTAAGATGACTCTCAACACCCTGCTTCATCAGAGTGTGAACACCAACAATATGGAACTACGTTTGAAAATAAGTTGATATTATGTCAGTGACTCCAGCAGGGATTACACTTATATCAAGTCTTGAAACAATGTGATAGTGGTACAAAAATATAGGTCACACTCATGAAGGTTACCCAACTCAGTTAAATGATAGCCTTCCACTTCACGTAACAAATAACTCAGCTAGAACATAGGCAGCGATATTTATTAGTTATTGCATTTATATTCCCTGACAAGTAAGCAGGACTTGCTGCCCTCATTGATAAATAGGACAGCGTATCCTTTCTGTTGTATGCTCGACTGTCCATTGCTCTGCCTGAGGACCTGTGGAGGCTCAGAGATGGCTTCGATACGGGGCCTGCTGTGCTGGGTGCGAGTCACCAGCACGGAACTCTGTGTATGACATTGAGTTAAGAGAAGCATGAGCAGTCTAGGGAAAGGCAAGGAGAGAGGGGTTGTTCATTGTTAGTGCTCCGGCTGTAAAAGAAGCCAGGGGCTTACTGACGCACACCTTATAAATCAGGGACATAGAGTCTGTTGTTCTAGAAAGTTCTAGAAGTCATTAGGAGTTTAGGAAAGCTGGAAGGATTTACACTGAGTATGGGTACAAGTGGATGGTCCCCCAATGAGTGAGTCATTCTTTCTTGTAGAGAAGGGATGCTTTCCTGATATTTTATCCCAGTTCCCCTTAAAGTCAACTGAACCCTTGGGTGGGACACAAAGGCACATGGGCTGGTGCAGTTCGAAATTCCCTCTTTGCTTTTCAATGGGGACCCATCCACACCGCAGAGATGGGAAGGAGACATATTAATTCATGTGTTTTGATACTCACTATACTTCCTTTCCTAAAACCCAAACATTCATCTGAGTGCCTCAGGACACATATCTGCTCTAAATTCATTTTTTATCTAATTTGTCTGAGATCTAAGCTTCCTGCGGAGGTCTGAGATCAAAGGAGCTGATTCCTTCTGATGTCGGCGCTGACACGTAATGTGTGCTGACTTAGTGCTGGCTGCGCCCTCACAGTGGGAGGTGCCACCCTCCCTGGGCACCTTTACACAGAGAACTTTCATTTCGGCTGGGGAGTCTGTCAGGTGTGCTGCTGATTGGAGCCGCCATGTAAATAATTCATGGGAGACTTTTAAATGTTTTGGGGTTGTGAAGGAAAACGAGGTTACCATTAGTCTTTCATGAATAGATGGAGACTTGAAGAACAAGGGGTAGCGATTTTCAGTGAAGGTCTCTTGAAAACAGCGTAACAATATCTTCAGTGGATAGAAAATAAGTGACTCGTAGAGCTTTGTTTCTCTTATATGAAATGCTGTTGGTTTTACCAAGGGATTAAAATTTAAAGACTCTTTTTCTTTTGAAAGTTTGCTTCTACCTGATAATTTATTATTCTTGTTCTTTGGTTATTTGCTGATCCTGATAAACTATGGCTCATCCTCCTGGTGGGAGCAGTTATCACGAGAGGACAGCAAGTTCTCAGCTTGCTATATGACTGGTCAATGCAAGGAGATGACATGGAGGGGGCAAAATGATCTTTCATTGAAGTCACTCTATTTCCTAGGAGGAAGCCAGGACAGTCACAAAGAAAGGGGACAGACCCCAGTAACAGAGGCAGCTACACAGTTCAAGTAAGAAACAAGAACTGAGGAGTAAATCAATATACTGGAGCTGTTAAGAAATCCTGAAGGAATCTCAGATCCCACAGAAAGCTGGATAACCAGACAGTTCTCATAGCTCTGAGCAAGAGAGCCATCCCACAGTTAGGAGGCTGTGTCAGCCGGGAGGTAGAAAGCACTGTGGGAAGGAAACAGGAGAAACAAGGAGCATAGGCTTCTTGGAGTATTAATCCACGCATTGCAGGACTAGCACAATACCATGATTAATCTCATTTCCATACCTCAAATAAAAATCAATTGCATATATTTATCTGTTGGTATCTGCACATCGTTCTGTCCATTGTTAGAGTAAACAGAAGCGCGGTACTCTCTCTGTTTCGTGGAGTGTGATGCAGACACTATTACTGACTCCCAACATAGCCAAAACTGCTCCCAACAAACAGAGAAGAAAATGATAGACGGGCTAATAAGTTAGCATGTACACCGTGTGTAAAAGAGTAATAAATTAATTCAGCAGTGAGGTACATGTCAAGCAGGGTTGAAAAAGTGTAGATGACAAGTGCTACTACCTAATAAGGACTTAGGCTGGGTCTTATGGTTCTTCATTCAATGTGGGCTGTGAAAGACACCCTGTGTGTGTGTGTGTGACATACCCCGTGCATTTCCAACCAAACGTTCCTCTCGATTCTCTGTTGCTACTTTTAGCTTCACATAGTACTATTTGTTTTTACAGCACAAACTCTGGAGCCAAAAAGCATGAGTTTGATAAAGTATTTAACTTCTTCCACTGCTGTATCTGTGGTCTTGGGAAGTTACTTTATCTGTGTCTTAATTGTCTTTCAACTAGAGGGAATGAATATATAATAATAGAT